ACAAGGACATCAAACTTAATGCAAGATATCATGTATTACTCTATAATTTAAGATAAAAAGCATTCATTCATTTCACAAATATTGAGTTTCTTCTCTGCGCCAGGTAGTGGGAAAAAGCAGTGAAAAAGACAGATAGACGTGGTTCCTGCTTATGAAAACTCCTCATCCTTCCTGGGAGACTGCACTGATTAAGTCAGGTCCTATGTGGAGCACTCTTAAGTGGAGTCAGATCCTGATCCCTGGGAGAATTTTTAGCTTCTAGGCATTCCTGGGGAAAGAACAGATGCCCTTCCATGGAGTCTAACAAATGTGAGATGCCCCTTCCCTGGATCCTGGCTTCCTCCAAGATCCCATGCAACCATCCTGACCAGGGACCTTTGCAGAGGATCTCTGTTGAAATTATAATTCTGGGATCTTTCATCAACTGAATTATTATTTCAACTAAACTCTGAGGGGGCTGAGGAAACCTCGGTAGGCTAGTACAGAAAATGGATAAGGAAGATATTTGATTCTACTAATAAAGGATATTGCTGTCTTTAAAAAATACTAAATTCTTTTTTTGGGGGGGTACTGGCAATCAAATTCAGGCCCTTGCACTTGTGAAGCAAAAAAAAATTAAATTCTGACGTGTGACCATTCAGTTGGACATTTCAGTAGTTAGACTCTTAAATAAATTAGACGAGTCTTTCTGAAGACTGGTCATAATTTAAAAGCACTTTTTTATAGAAGCAACTCCTGGTTATTTAAGGACAGAACTGGAGCATTTGAGTGTTAAATTGTCATTCGGAGCTCAAAGTGGAAAAAAATAAGAAAATGTCAATTCCCATTTTTAAAAAGCAATGTGCAAGTCAGTGAAATCAGAGCACAGTGGATATTATCCACACTTGTAATGGAAAATCTACCACTAAAATACCTAGGCATTTGCTTTTAAAGACTTAATTATAGCAACTCATGTTAAAGCAGAGAAGAGAAATCAGGCTTCTTGATTTTTAAAGATATTCTTATCCATGAAATCACAAGTCATATTTGCATCTCTGCTCCTTATTTGGATATGTAACACAAATAGAAGTCCATTGCCATCTACATAGGAGGTATTGGACCCCCATTTTCCAGGTGTCTGCATGTTTCTTCTCTAACAACTACTTCCTCATCACTTCTAGGATTTTCTTCCACAAGTTATATATAACCCTTTAGATCATTCCCACTTCCCCTCTTGCTCCTCAGTGACAGTCCCAATGCACCAACTCTTAAAATTAGTGGCAAAGCCAAATGGCCAAAGGGCTCAGCCTGGCAAAGATTTCTCAGGCCTTACATAGCTAAACAGACATTTTAGTAATGTCTTCAGAGCTACAATTTTTTTTTATCATAGATAAAGGAGTAGACTATGCTGAACAAAGGATTAATATGGTGCTTAACAAGGTCTACATAGAAAGACTGACAAAATATTTGGCAAAATTATCAAACTTATCTCAATCTATTACTTTCTCAATCAGTGACAAAGGGAGCCTGTATACTTTCACTAATGTGTGGTTCATTGGTTTTTAGTTTGCAAATATGAAAGGTAAAAATGCTACTCTATTGTAATTTTAACTTACATTTATTTGAGTAATTATATGTTTGAAATACCTAACACTGATTTGAATGCAATTCTTTTGCTCTGTGCTTGCTATATTTGTATTCTAAGCACAATTTTAGTTGCTGCTATAAACAAGTCAAATGTGGAGTTTGTTTTTAGTGCAAGAAACAAATAAAAATATCCACAATAAAAAAAAAAAGCTTAAAAAGCATTTTAGGCAATGATCATTGCTATGAAAAACACAACAAAGAAAAACAGTAACAAAGAAAAGGGACAGGAATAAAGGGCTCTATTATTTTTGACACAGTAGTCAGAGTAAGCTTCTCTGAAGAAATGATATTTGATCGGAGACTACTGAGTGTTTGGAAAACATTCCAAACATAGAAAAGACAAATACAAAGCTCTAGAAAGGAGTGTGTGGGGAGGCTATTTCTGTGTTTGAGGAAAATGAAGCATGCCATCTGGCTGTGTAGCCCAATGAACAAGTACAGAGTGATGGTGACAAGTTAAGTTGGAGAGAGCAAGAGGCCAAAGCATCCAGTCCAGTAAAGAGGCTTTGAATTTTGACCCAAGTTTTTGGTAAGTCATTGCAGGGCTCTGAGCAGTGGAGTGATATAACCTGATTTACATTAATTGGCTGTTGGCTGGAAAAGGATCTATAAGAAAGACAGGAAACTGGGAGATTAGTAAAGAGACCAGTAGTGAGATGAGCAATGGTAATGATAATTTGGTATTAGCAGTACAAAGAAAGCAAAGTAAAATGTTTCAGGATATTTTGAAGAGGACATGCTGCTGGACTTATATTAAGGAAAAAAGAATCAAGGTCAATTTTAAAGCAAGCGGGTAGGGCTGCTTACTGTGATGGACAAACACTGGAGAAATAATAGGATCATAAGGATGGAGGTAAAAATCAAGAACTCAGTCTGGAAAGTATTACATTTGAGATGTATATGGGACATTTAGGAGGAAAGAGTAAGTAGAGTGATACATGAGTTCAAGGGGTAAAACTGAAGACATAAATATGGTCCCAACAGCTGCATATGGTGTAAAATCATGGGATGGATTGAAGTCCTCCAGGGAATGAGTAAGAAGGAAAGAAGCCTGAGGATATTTCAACACTGAGAAGAAGTGGTGTAAGGAGGCACACAGAGCATGGTATGAACTAGAATGGCCACTCAGCAGAATCCTGTGTTTTTGCACAATAATCTTTACCTGTTTACAAGAAAATAAAACAAAACCAATAGTTTGCAGTATAATGAGGGAGAACAGGCTAAATAGAGAAATTAAATACAAATGGGAGAAAGGAAAGGGCATAGTCCATTTCCATTGGGGGAAAATATGGTGGAAAATATGTTTGAATACACAGGTAATATTTGTGAAAGGCCTTTCCTATACCAAGCATTGACAAGCACAAGGAAGTCACGAATAAGACAAATTGCATGACCTCAGGCTGCTTAGATTTTAATGAGAAGTTTGGGGAAACATGATAAATATACAAATGAATTATGTAATTTCAGTTAATGACAAATGCTATGAAGAAAATAAAATTGAACAATAGCATAGGGAGAGGGGAGAAGACAGGCAGGGAGATGAACAGTGGCCTCTCTGAGATGGTGCTTTGGCAGAGCTCTAAATCAGGAAGAGGCATGGGAAGGTGGGTAGGAGGATTGCTCCAGTAGGAGGGAAGAGTTAGATGCAAAGGCCTCCAATAAGATCAAGAAACAAGAGAGGGCTACTGTGGCTGTGGCACAGTTGGAAAGACAAGGTAAAATTAGGAGATGATGGCAAAAACAATAGGAAAGGGCCTCAGGAAGACTTAACTATCAATGGCAATGGGAAGGCTTTCCAAAGGGGTTTAAGTAGAGGTTTGTATGACTCATTGTACATTTAAATTTCTCTGCCTATTTTGTAAAAACTGATCTTGTAGGGGTTGGAGGGAAACAAGGGACTCTAGTTAGAGGGATCTTGTTCGAAAAAAGAACCTTAAATACTTTGTTATTTTCAAGCGTATCAAAACTAAATACCTGACTCAATAGGAAGCAAATTTAAGTGAACAAACTGTAAGATTCTTAAGGGTAGGGATTTGTGTATGATTTGTTCACTCAGCATCTGTATTGTAGTGGCTAAAATAATCCAGAGCCTGGCACTCAACAAAATTATCTACATGGAATAGCTTTTTATTTGGAAATGAGACTCAGGTGAAATGAACATATAGAAAAGAACTTCAGCAAAGTTTCACTGGCTATGAAAATGTTTTCAAAATTACAGACTATATCAAAGTATGGGACAAACAGATTTCAAGTGAAGCTGAGTCATTTTATAATAACATATTGTTTTTAATTCAAATTTTAAGTTTAAAATTTATACACTTTATTATAAACTGCTTCTCATCCCTTAGACCAGTGATGGTGAGCCTTTTAGAGATGAATGCCCAAGCTCTAATCCAAAACCCTCTTAGTTATCACAAAATGCCAACACTGCAACTAAATCTGACCACTGAGGTTTTAGATTGGCAAAAACAACTCATACGTTAACATTTTTTTTTTTAAATAAGTAACACATGTACTGTAGGTTCGCCATCACTGCCATAGACTGTAAGTTTCTATGTGGCAGGCATTTTAATTCTTCAGTAATAACAGAACACAATGTGTATGTGCACTGCATAAATACATATTCAGGCTGTTGAAATTCTGCTGAAGGAAAACTAGCACACACGTAAAATATTTAAGGAAGAAAATTCGGACAACTTAGCAGTATTTATCATTTCTAACATTTTAGTCTTCCAGAGTAAACTTTGAAATTATATTATAATTTGAAATGATTCTGGTTTGACAAGTTAACTCTTGAGACATCTAAATATAGTATTATGAAACAACAAAACTGTTCATCAACCCTTTATGCCAATGTTAATTTCTTTAAAAAGTAGAATTTTAATGTTTTTTATTCCTACAGTGACCCTTAAAATTTCTGTGTATGCGATCAAAAATGCACACAAAAGATGCATTTATAAGCTTATTGTGCAGCTCTAAAGACAGTTGGGAAATCCAATTTTAATTTTGTTACTGAAATAATTTAAAATATATTATAAAACTGCCTCTTTTCAATGAAAAGCGAGGATCTAGAAAGAGATTATACCAAGTAGGCACAATTTATTCAGGTTTATTATTGTTAGAGAAATGAAGATGCTTAACTTCAAACTGTAAAAAAAAAGTAGTTTTACATTTAACTTTTCATGTTACCACAAAATATACCATTTTCTTATGCCTTAAAAAAACTTAGATAATTCAACAAAGATCCATTATGCACATTACCCATTAATATGCTAAAGTATGGAAAACAAATTTCAGCGAATGTGTAAAATTTTCTGATAACCTCTTAGAATATGTTTGTAATTTAGAACCATCATCAGAGTAAGTGGACTTACCGGCTTTTATTCATAAGGTCTGCTCCCCTTGCTTTGTAATAATCTAAATTGGGATGGAACTGATTAGTCACTGGTCTTGGATTTCTCTAAAGAAAAATAAAAGACAATAAATTGAAATAGATAAAGCCATCCACATTATTCATTAACATATAAAAGACAGAAATACCCTTTCTTCAGAAAATAATCTATATATAATGACATCTTAATTAAGTTCTTCCTTAACTGATTACTGATTAAAACAAATTGTTTTAATATATTTCATTTTAACCTATCTCACAGCTCAAACATTTATCCCCACCATTAGATTTATTTTCAACGATTTTGATCACTTAATAACTTTCCAAAACGTGAGATAAAGTAAAAATAAATCTGAAAGTTTACATGAGATATAACACAAGCATAAACTATGCTAAGGAGTAAGACACAAAGTCCGTAAAACTATGTATTTGGAAGAAGACTACATAAATCACCATTAGTTTTTGATAATCAGAATGCTAAGTAAGTCCACTAGATGGCACAATGAGTCCTCCTTCTCCTAAAAGGAATGTTATTTCAAAATTCAGCAACTGTTTTGAATTCACAAATTTCTATATTATCTATTCTTATTTATGAGTTTAATAAGTGGCCAAAAAATACCAGGTAGTGGAAATATCAGCAGGATAAGCATTGAATTGACCACTGTGCATTTCCATAAAGGCAGCAATAATACTGTTCTTTCTGGCATTTAATATTGTTTATAATATGGCAGAAATGCCCTTCATTATTAGGCTGGGTGTGTCCATTTAAAGTTGTTGCTATTTTTAACTGTATTAATTAGTTAAATGTATGAAGACCCTCACAGGTAAGTAAAAAAATTATTTTGAACACATTTACAGTATAATTTAAATGAACACCATCATCTCTAAAATGTGAAATTAAATATACTTTCCATTAAAACAGTTTTAAAAACTTATACTCTAACACTTACCTAAACATATAAGATTCAAATAATAATTAGGTCTTTGCACCAGAGCATGCACTGTCCTGTAAAAGGGCTATCTGGACACAGAGAGGCTATATTTCATCTTAATGAAAAATTACTGATATATTTAGATATCAGTCTTTGCAGATATAATCCCAAATCACTGATAGACTGGCATGTAGGCATGGGGGAAAAAGGGGATATAATTACTAAGGTTAAATAGTTTGAAATTCATTCAGCTAACAAGCTGCATCTTAATGGCCATGATGGACCTTTTCTTTTTCTGCTGAAAAGAGAATATTTACATGTTCAACCCTTTCATATCTCTTCCAAGCCAGCTCTAATCATCTGACAAAAATGACAATCCCTTGATTTAGCTCCAGCTACTACTCCACTGGTTTGGTATTCAACACAGTTCTATAATAATCAAATCTGAATTGCCTTGATGAAGATAACTGATGCTTCCATGACTACCATACTATTAAGTCTAACAGTGCAACTTTTCTCTCTCTAGGAAATGCATAGGTTTCCTCATGGTAGCTGATGACAACCTGGACCCGGGTACTGTATAATGTGAAAATAAAATTGAGGTTAAAGCCATTGGCAAACTGACAGCACATACAAGATTTATTTTAAAAATTAGCGTTCATAGGACTATCATTCATGACTAATCCTGCTCTTTATTCTCAGTACCTGTAAATACATTTTGTTTTTGCTAACACAAAAAGCTTTTCTCTTCTCTGACTTCCAACAAACTAATAAAGGATTATGTCACTTTTTGCAAGAAAATAATGAAAGAAGGGATCACATGGAGCAGTTTCTTGAAACATCTTTATAAAGAAATGACGAGCAATTCAAGACACAAGTGCTGATCTATCTAAGCACTTAAAGCCGTTATTAGGAATAATGATCCAACTTGAACATATGAATGAGGCTCAAGTATCGCTTTCACTGAGACCTATTTAAACTCCTAGGAGATTTACTGGTATCAAAGGGAGAGGTAAAGTACCAAAGTATTAGAAACAACAACAAAAAAGAATCAAAAGATGATACTGAAAAACAACATAGGAAATACTAAGAAAAAAAATCAGTTATTGTTGAAAGTCATTCCACAGGGTTTTCTGTTGAGATGATGTTATAGTAATTCTAAAACATACATAAGTATACAAACAGATAATTTAGGCCAGCTGTCCAACTGAAATATAATGTGCGTCATAAATACAATTTAAAATTTTCTAGCAGCTACATTTAAAATAAAAAAGAAAAGCGGAAATAGATAAAATTAAATGTAATTTTATTAAGTCTTTTAAAAATTTTAATTTTGAGATACTTTATATTCTTTTTGTACAATCTTTGAAATAAAGTGTGCATTTTACACTTACAACAATCTGAATTTGGACATAGCACAATTAAATGCTGAACAGCTACGTGTGCTTTGTATATTGGGCAGAAGAGAACTAAATGTCTGACCCATGTGTAAACCATTTCATAACTATAAAAATCAACACGTGGACATGAATAATAAAGCTATGGATACATTTATATATTAACATTAATTTTTGATGTTTCTTCAGTCTCTTTCTGAATAAGGATTTTAGAAGTCAAGAAATTTTAGAATACCTTCTCACATAAACAAAAACCAAATTAAGATAGGTTTACATCAGTGTTAAGCATAAACATATAAATATACATTAAAGGTAAAATGGAAAGACAATTGGAACTACATACCAAAATGAAAACAACTGTTTCCCTAGGGGAATAAGGTTAGACAGAATTCTAACTTCACATGGTTAAAATATTTTAAGAGATGCTTGCTTTGCTTAAAGGATTTTTTCCAAATAAAATTTTATAGAACTCTCTAGTTCTTTCTAATTTTTAAAGACCAAAAATTTTATTTAAAATGAGTCACTGCAATTTTATCTGTGTACCTATGTACCCTGCTTGAAGAAGATCAGACCCCAAGACATCTATAATTTCTTATTGTGTAGAACATGCTAAGTCAACACATTTAATTGTATGTCTTTTTCAGTCCATTTTCATACAGTTAGGATTTCTGACAATTAGACCCAATGTACACTTTAAAAAAAATTCTATGATTGTTAGGGAATTGATCATGTTAAAGTATGCTGTGACGCCTCCTTACAGGCTGCATTCTCCTGATACATCTTGGCTCCTAAAATGACCTCATGCCCTTATCTTTGGTTTCCCTCCCCGACAAGGCCACAGTGGTCCAGGAAAGTTGAAACCTGTGTCTGCAGGACTGGGCCCATAAAAACAATCTGGCCTGTGATAGGTTAAAAGTAGCTCACTCCTCATAAATAAGCAATAGTCCACCCCAAAACTGATAAAAGGACCTTCCTTTCTTTGTTCTTCTCTCTCCTTCTGCTTCTTCCTCCTCTCTCTCTCCCTCCCCCTCCCCCCTCCCGCTCTCTCTCCCTCTCTCTGCCTCTGCCTTCCTGCCTCCAGCTTGCCTCCCTACAATAAAGATCTCCTGCCGGACTTCTCCGTGCGTGAGTGGCCTAATTGGGAAGGGGCACCCGAAAGGGCACACGAACCCCCTTTCAATGATTTTGATGAATTTTCCTTTGGAAGGAAACTAGTAGAATAGTAGTCATTATGGGAAACTAAGATAGAAATTAACATACAATCAGGGACGGACTGTGCTCTCAAGGAGGTCAGCAGAAAATTAAAGATATCAGAATTGTGGCTGGAGGCACAGCTGAAAAAGGCAAGACTCCAAGATAAAGTCACAATTGCCAGACTTGCATACTTCCCTAAGGGATAAGCAGAATTTGGAATTATGTTGTAATTAGTACCAGCCAGTCTATTAAATCTAGATATGTATCAGATACCCCGATTGGTGACCAGAACACCTGGACCCATCCCTTCCCATAGTTAATGCTGTCAGTCATATACCCTTGCTATATGTCCTGCTTTCTTATTGGATCTATGTCAGGTAAGCAGGTATACTTATAATCTTACTGGTTGATTATAGTTTGACCCATGTTGTTCCTACAATGTGATTCTGCTGTATAAATTATCCCTGAAAAAGGGTCTCAGTGGCAATCCACTTGAGCATCCTCCTATCCCTCAGGAGCTATTCATTTTCTCTGATAAACCTTTCTTACTCTTAATCTTTGTCCTTTAGAATTCATTCTTCAATTTCAGAGGATACAAATTCCAAACTTCTGACATCTAACAGGTTGGGAGTTATATTTTTTCCTATATCATTATCTTATTGAATTCATATTGGCTTTCGTATAGAATATCAATTATATCCTATGATCAGGAAATTTTCTCTCACTAGATGTTTAACTCACAAATATATTCCACCCTGGGTTTACCATGCCTTTTAAAGCTAACGAACAAGACGGGCTTGAAATAAGCTAATTAACTACCTAAGTCATTCAATTCTTCAATGAGGTGTCACTAAAAAATATGGTTAAAGTTTGAATGTTTTTGGTTTTTATTTTATTGAGACAGGATCTTATTATGTAGATTGAAGTGGCCTTAAGCTCACTATGTAGCCCAGGCTGGTCTCAAACTCAAGGCAATCCTCCTGCCTCAGACTCCCAAATGCTGGCATTACAGATGTACAAACATCAAATCTGGCTTAAAAATTTTAAAATTAGAATAAGTGACACACTGTCATTGCTTATCCCCTCAAAATACTTCCCCTCTCTTCAAACATACTTATCCCACTGATTTTGGTGCTTTATGAAGCAGTGCTAGAAGTTCTCTTTCATGAGTATCTTTACTTGTGCTGCCATGGCCAACTCGATATTCTAAAAACAGTTCTAAACATTTGCCTTTCATGGTCATTTTGACTTTGGAGAAGAGACAGAAATCTCATAGTGCTAAAGCAAAATTAATGGTGGCAGAAATGAGACAGACCTAGAGGAAACTAAATGGGAAATCAAGCCAAAACTAAACAAAACCTGTGAAGTGTACTTCTCACTTCCCAAAATGCTTTTATTAACAGCATGATCACAAAACAATTTCCAAATATTTAATGATAGCAATCAAGAGTTAAGACTGAAATCTGATCTGTCAGTTAGAATTAATCTTGTTCACTTCTGAGGTCTGTATTATATGACTGTAACCTGCTCCTTAATGTAATTTTAG